ATAGGACTCCAGGAAGTCGAGTCAGGTTTTTGTCTGAAGTCCAGAAAGTGGTGTTCCTCTCTCTTTGTTCTCATGAGTCCACAGGTGGAGACGGGGATGATGGATGGTGGAGTCTGTGGCCGTTTGTCAGTTTGGTGTTTGTGCAGTGAGTGTGAAAACAACACTTTCCTCTTGGACTGACGTCTGCCGTCTTTCTCAGGTGGATCCTTCTTCTTCTCCTCCTCAGCATCACTGCGTCTGGGAGTTTGACTTGAGGACGGTGGAGTTCTTGGAACTTCTGACCAGCTTCGGCTTTAACACTTTAAGGCAAGAATGTAGATTTGTTCTGAATTTGATTAAAATACACAAATAGAGGTATTTCACAAATTCACAAACCTGTGGCTCCTGAACCACGTGTGGCCCTTCAGCCTCTTTGCTATGGACCTTTAACAGCAAAACAACATAATGTCACTGTCCTCTTACCTCAAGAAGAAGAATGTCTCCTAGGTAGAGCAGCAGTGTTGTCTTCAGGTCACCTGTATGATTGTACTACTGAGTTCTACCGTGCTAGAACCGATCTTTACTGTAGAAATTAGGTGGAATTCATGCTCAGATTAAAGTGAGCTCTAGTTTAGGATCAAAAGATTAGTTTAAATCAGTAATTCTCCTCCCCCCGGCACCTCACCGTGGCCCGCAGGAGGGTCCGGCCTCACTTTGAGAAGTACTGGATTAAATTAAAATTAAATTAACAATATAATACAATCAAATAAAAATGACCAGAGAATAGAACATTAACAATATAATACAATCAAATAAAAGTGACCAGAGAATAGAACAGAATAGAGTAGTGTGCGTGTGTGTAATTTACACGTACTGCACTGGACCGGCGGACGCCAATTTTCTCCACGGCCAGCTGTAGCAGCACTGCCCTCTTGTGTCCCAGATGCTAAAGTGCAGCTAGAAGCCTTCTACGACGCCGTTCAGTTGGTCCTACTGTAAAGCCATTACTTTAATATTTAATCGTTAAGACAGAGTATCACAATGTAGTCGTTTTGAACCGGAACTGTAGAAAACGTCATCAAGTCGAGGTCATTATTCAGACCATATTGATCATCTTTGGAAATAAATGAATCAATAAATGAAATTACGTAGAGGTGGTGTGACGTAGTGACAGCTACGGCGGTACTTGTGGTGAACGTTAGTTTATCAGGTATTATTTTCTGAGAAAGAGGGGTAAAAATAAAGAAACACACGAACACAAGAGTCAGTAAAGCTGTCCCTCTTTATACTTAACTTAAACCAACAACGTATTTCACCGCCATTAACTCACTAACACTGTCGTCGATACGGAGTCAGAAAAACAACGACGACGCCATTTTTATTTTATAAGTAGTAAAAACTGTTTGTTGACGTCATCAAATGTCCGTCTGCTGATTTGTCTTTGTCCTGAAACATGAATATTAATGAGTTGACTCGCCGTGATGACATTTAAAGGTGCAGTTCACAGAAACCTTCAACTTTGAATTATGAATTATTTTAGCATAAAATAAAATCAACTTATCGTCTACATTTGTGTTACCTTTTGGTGTACTGCAAGAGGTTTTCTATTGTTTTTAAGCAAAGTTTGCTCCAAGACTAACTTAGGGCTTACTTGATGCTAATCTTGGGATTTTTTTTATTTTGTTTGCCTTTACTTTTTAGACTTAGCTATTGTGTCAACTATTTTTGTTGTAGTTGCAGTTAGCACATTGCTTTTAGCTGTTCTTTATCTGTTGCTTAAGATATCCCTGATGTGTTGTTTGGTGGTAGTCCTCTAAAACCTCAGTCCTCATCGAATGGCTGTATTTAAACATTGTCTCATCAGTACCATGATCCTCATCAGTACCATGATTCTCCTCCTAATGAGCCTCCCTCTGACATCATCACATATTTCTTTCCACAAATTGATTTCCACAGCAGCGACTATTGGTTTTAGTTGATTAAAATTGTGTCTCCACCGCACCATCATTTCTGTTATTTGTGGTGTCACCGCGCTCTCCTGACGTCTCCATGTTTGCTAATTCCGTCCTCCTAATTGCTCCGAGCTCCGTCGTCTTCCTCTGCTGCGTCTTCATCCCTCAAATTCTGAGTCATTACCTCGACGACAGTAAATCACATTTCTGCCTGTGTGTTTGAGCAGCCGCCGGGCTGTAAACCAATCACTCAGCTATATTTAAATGAGCAGGAACATTTCAACAACAATTAGATTTTCTGCCTCAGACACTTGCTTTAATCACCCTCACTTCAGCAGAGAGCCCATGATTCACAATCTGTGTCAAGGTTTAAGGAACATTTGGATGAGTTAATCCAGGCCTGTGTGAAAAAGTACCATTGTTGAAAAAGTCATTAGATGTTTTCACAGCTCTGATTAAAGGCTCAGGGACTTTGTAAAGTTGGAGCTCAGACGTTGTGTGGAAAATTCTAACTTTTTTCTGAAAACTTTCTTTTTGGGATATTAAAAACAGCATTTCCCAAAAATCCATAATTACTTTTTACAACTGTAACTCTGATTTTTTTTTCTCTAACTGCTAGTTACTTGTGGCCTGGCCAGCTGACTGTCTTGCCTCGGCCTGGGACGAGATTAAGAGATGATCATTGGTCAAAACATTTTGGCTTAAAAATTAGAAAGAGAATATGTGTAACTCAAATATTGCATATATTTTTTATTGTATAATTTAATGAGGAACCCCTGTACTCACCCTGTCAGTGGGCTTACCAAAATAACTTAAACATCATCCACCATCTTGTCCACCAGCTCAGAGAGGTTCAACTTCCAGCTTTCACTTTCACCTCTCCACAACCTATTAAATCCACTCATAAAAACAAATAAATAAAAAATACAGTTTTTGTTAAAATTAATTTACAGAGTATAACACTGTAATAAAACTACATCCTGGAGGTAGTCTAACTCCACTTTTTGGAAAATCCTGATTCTTCTACTTGGTCTTTTCTTTGTCAATATTTATGGTAAATTCAGTCAATATATTTCTAAATCCAAACCAGTTAAAAATATAACTTTAATCTCTTTTAATCGATCACATTAGTCAAATAATTCAAGAATGTAACTAGGTGGAAACAACCACATTTTTTCATGTCGTTGTTTATACTAAAAACACTCAACTCAACAAGAATAATTTTCAAATATGTGTGAAAACCAAGAAAAACAGGTTTGTAGCTCGGAGAGTTTAGGGACATCTGCTGTTCACTCTGTGCAACTACAGCTTGTGTATAAAACTTGTCAAATAGAAGTGGAGTGAATCAAAGAGAAAGGTAAAAACAGTTCGTGAGCTTCATGAAGAAGAACTCCAGAGATCTGAACATCAACAGTGGAGTTTAATGTCTCTT